CTCATTGTCCTCATCGGTGACACAAACACAAAATCTGTTTTTCAGAGTTAGAAATAATTCATGTATATTTCATAGAGCATAGTGGATGGCATTCAGTGGATGGCAGCTTATTACCAGTTCCATTTCAGAGGTGAGAAAACTGAGGTCTTTAGGCAATGTAGGGCCCAGGTTTCTAGAGAAGGACTGGACAGGTCTCTGGAGATAGGCTGGGGTGACTTGGACAATTGAACCTGTGACTCTGGCAGTGAGGAGCTAGTGAGCTGAGGAAGGTAAGACTTTCAGCAACTCTTACTGTCTTCTCTAACAGGAATCCTCTGTGAGTATTGGAGAGATCTTTCTTTCTTTTTTAAATATTTATTTATCAGTATTATTATTATTTTAATTTGCTATAGGACACATGCACTCACCAGAGAGGGGGATGGGAGTGAGAAAGCAGGCCACCAGGTCTGGGATGCTAACCATGGTCGGCCATGCAGGAGTCCAGCGCCTCAACCATCACACCACTTGCTGACCCAAGGAGAGACCTTTCTTTCTCCTTTCTTTCTTTTCTTATTATTGCTATAGGGTGCATGCTTTCACTGAAGAGAGACAGAGGGAGAGAGGGGAAAAGCAAGAAATCACCCCCAGAAAGAATGGCCAGGCCACAATCCCTTCTCTGTTCTCTTGTGATTTTGGGCACGTACACACATGCGTCGAGCATATTTTCCAACTCACTGGGTCAGGACTTGAACTGCACAGTCAGCCATGTGGATCCAGAGCCTTAACCTCCATGCCACCTCACTGGCCTCCAAGAGACCTTTCTTAACAATGTGAGCATTGGTCCTGGCAGTGCTGTCCATCATCCTGACTGCCAAACTCTGAGAGCTGCCACTCTGTTCCTCCACTTCCCCGACGGCACCTCCAAGAAGGAAAGGCAGCCAGTGGACACAGGGTGCATGCACGCTGCTGCTTCCTGGGTCCCCTACCTTCTCCAGGGTCTTCTGGGAGACAGAGGGACCAGGGGAAGGACTGTTGGCTTGAACTCATTCACAGTGGGACCTTGACCAAACCAGATGCCTCTCCATCTAGTGCCTTGGTTTCCCTATATTTAGAATAGGAGTTTCTTGACGTCTTCTGGCCTGGACTGAGTCCGCCAATCCCTCCAGCAGTCTGCTTTGCTTCTTCTCGTTCAGTTATTTCTCATGCCAGCGGCAGCCAGCTGTCCACCAAAATCTGTTCTCTTCTTCCTTAGCCATAGGCTGTGCAACCAGAGACTACATTTCCCAGACTCCTTTGTGGCAGGGTGGGGCCCTATGATTCAATTCTTACCAATGACACATGAGTGGAAGCAATGTGACACCCTTCCAAACCAAGGCCTTAAAGTGTTGGACGCCTGCTTCTCTACCCTCCCTCTCCTGTCCTCTCACGCATAACCTGAGCTGCTCATGGTGGGGTTTTGACCATGTAGGTGGAGATAATGCACAGGAAGGCAGAGCAACAGCATGGAAGGAGTGACAGACGGAACAGAGACTCTGTGGCCACCTATGCCATTTGCCTTGTTAATAGGACATAGCGGCCCTTCTACTCTCTAAAGCCCCTGGTTTCTTCCTTCCCTTTTGTTAAAACTGTTCAGATTCATCCTGTGCTCCCTCTCCTCCTTTACTGCCATGTCCCCAGGCCTGGATTCCTTGCTGTCTGTACAGACACCCTTGGGAAAGCTGCAGTATGCTAGACATTTGGTGGAGACACAGCTCGGTTGGCCAACAGTCTTTCTGCAGCTTCTGGGAAGAGTTGCCAGCTTTTCTAACACCTGAAGAGGTTCTCTGGCTGCAAGCTGAGATAGGGGTTTCTCCATCTTTGCTATGACTGGTTTCTCTGAGTCTCGACAGGACCAACCAACCCCTGCCTCCAAACTGATGATCAGTCAGCCAATCCAGCCTAACCCTCTGCCCCCATAACAGGGATAAACCCTCACTTACTGCTCTGGTCAATATTGCTTCCCATCCTACTTCTGGGGAAGTTCTGTCTTCCTGCCTTCCAGCAACATTGTCTTCTTCAGCTCCAAAAGCGAGGCTCCTAGAGGCGGGAACTAGGACCTACTTAATGAATCCAGCCCAGAGTAGGTTCCCCAGGAGTGTGTGTGATTGGAGTCTCCTTTTAACCCTCCTTTCAGGATCCAGAGCCCATCACTATTCTCTTGTCCCTTCTCCAGCAGATGGAAGAGACTTATTTGCAACACCCTGCCCTGCTCCAATCACAGGGCCCCCAAAACAGCCATCTCTGCCTTCTCTCTGAAAGGAGAATGTCAAAGCATCCTTCAGGAGGCCATGAGGGCTTAGATCTAAAGCTGCCCTGACTTTACATGCAACCTTGGGCCACATGAAGGGTCACATACTTCGCCTGCAGTGAGGTGCCCTCAGAGGGTGTGGAGGGGAAGAGGTTGGGCGTTACCAGAGTTTGGCGGTCAGGAAGATGGACAGCACTGCCATCACTGTGGCGATGGGCTCCCCAAGAGTTCACCCTATGAAGGTCTCTTTGATATGCACAGAAGGATTCCTATTTCCTATTTGGAAGGGCAGTAATGGCCGCTGAAGGTCATCTCCTCCTGAGCCTCAATTTCTTCCTCAGAGCATGTGTAAGGCTCTCCACTCTCCCCATCTTTAAGGGTGGCTCAAGGGTCCAGTGTGTGCAAGGGTGCTCAGACGCATTATGGCACTTGCCTTAGGGTGGCTTCTCTGGGAACAGACTCTGAAAGGAGACTGATTGGGAGGTTTATTAGGAAATGCTCTTGGAAACATCACCTATGAGAAAGTGAGGGATGCAGGTCGGAGCAGAGAGAGGCCAAACTAGGATGCAGTTGCTACAGAACCGCAGCCAACCCCAAAGGGAGCTCTGGGCCTGGACCAGCCCTTCAGAGAGTCCTACATAGATAAGAGGAGCAGATCTTCCTGTCAGGGGTGTGTATCAGTCAGTAGATGCAGGCTCTCCCTGGGCAAGGGAAATAACCTGGAACTCCTTTCGCCCGAGGGACAACCCACAGAGGAACTCAGCTGTGAGCTGTCACCAGCCAATACTCCCAGCAGCTGGAGGAAGAAGTGTCTCAGCACTGGGAGGTGGGCATGTGGGTGGCACACCGCAGTATCCGTTACAACAAGAATATTAATAACCCATGCAACTCTCATAATAATCTCTCACAAACGTGCAGCTCTTGATAGTTTATGAAGTATGTCATGATCATTATCGTATTAGGTCCCAAAGCAACCTTCTGCAGTAAGAAGGCTATGCGTTTCTAACCCCATATTTGCAGTGAGAGGCCTTAGGTTCAGAAAGGTTAGTGTGCTAGGTGATGTCTGTATCCTCCGCTCTCCACCTGTACCCTCCCACAGCCCCTCTGAAGCCCAAGGATAGGGAGCCTGCAATTACATTTCTCATCCTGCTTCCCTTCGGGTTCTGCCAGTGGGATACATGGTGGAGGCTGGGAGGTGGAGAAAGTGAGCCTCTAACATTTAACATTTTCCCCTGATTCTAGAAATTGGGCTCTGGCTGGGGTACCTGAAGGTGACTACAGATGGCTCTGAACTCTAGCCATATCAGAAGCCTCTGGACACATCAGCAGGTATGGGGTTCATCAGCACAGCTAGGGCTCTGTTTTCCTGCTCAGCAGTGGCGGTGAAGTTCCATGATTTTTGGTAGCCACAGTGGCACCTGAGCAGTTCCGTGGCAACTGTGGGCTGGGCTCCACCCAATTATTCGGAAACAGTTGGGATCTCTTTAGATGAACTCAGATGAAACCCACAACCTAGAACCTCCCCACCTATGCAGCTCCCCTTTAATAGTGGAAGCACCCTGCCTTCCTCCTTTTTGGAGAATTCAAGACCTACCCCAGTACCCTACATTGCCTGCCCCCAGACCCATACCTGCCTCATAGCACCAAGTACAAAGTCCGACCCAAAAAGGAGAGAGCCTATAACCCCAAGGGGGGTCACGATGTTTTGTTAATGGGTATTGACAGAAATGGGGGGGGGATGTGCATGGAGAGAGGGGGCGCATGTTCTCCTTACAGGAGGGCAGTTGATCCTGTTAGGATAAGCATGATGTTACTCTTCTAAAGTGGAAGCTGAATTATGAGTAGGCAGGGTCTCCGTGGAAGTTCGAGCAGCCAAAGGGCGTACACACTGTAGTTCCTGTGGTCTCTGAGTTCCGCCCTGCCTAGTGTTGGCCCTGCCTATTTTTCCTTTTACCTTGATGAAAAAAAAATGTTTGCTCATACTTTTTTGCAAAATAGGTAAGACTATGCCTTATGTTCTACATACTATTGTCCCAATTTAATGTTCTTTGCGCATTTTAACACATTTTTCCCTCTGTAAAGATTGGGGTGTGGTGGGAACCAGCAGTTAGCGTAATGGCTATGTCGCTGGACTCCCACATAGTCGACCACAGTTCGAGTCCCGGACCCGGTGGCTTAGAACTCACGCCAGGGGCGTGTGCGTGTGTGCCCGAGATCCCGAGAGGAGAATGGAGGAGAGGGGATTGCAGCGTGACCATCCCCTCTGGGGGGTGATTTCTCCCTTTCTGTCTCTATGTCTCTCTCTCTGTCTGGCGAGCGCACGCGCCCTATAGCGAAAACCTCTCAAAAAAAAAAAAAAGATTGGGGTGTGGCATGTGTCTCAGTACCCCCTGCAGGCCCATGCATAGGTCATGTGAACAAGTGGCCGGGAGCATGCTCTGTTGGCTGTGAAGAACTGTGCCTAAGGGACCAGCAGTTAGCGTAATGGCTATGTCGCTGGACTCCCATGTAGTTGATCACGTTTGAGTCCTGGACTCAGTGGCTTAAACTCATGCCAGGCGCGTGTGCATGCATGCCCAAGATCCCAAGAGGAGAATGGAGGAGAAGGAATTGCAGCGTGGCCATCGCCCCTGGGGGTGTGATTTCTCACTTTCTGTCTCTCTGTCTCTGTCTGTCTTTTTGGTGAGCGCACGTGCCCTACAGCAAAAACCTCTCCAAAAAAAAGAAGAAAAAGAAAGAACTGTGCCCAAGTGGGGTTGAGTATGTCAGGGCAAAGCCTTGGAAAGTGCCCTGAAGCCAGCCCAGACCCAACAACTTGAGACCTAGCGTCCACTCTTCCTAGCTCTTGCAAAAAACTAAGTCGGGACCCTTGCATCTCTTCCCCTCTAACCCCAGCTTTCTGAGATGAGAGCTGGGCGGACAACACAAGTGTAGAAATAAAGAGCGACTACTCCTCCCGGGTGCTTTATTGGGGGCTTTCAGTGGTTCCTCAGCGTGAGCGGCAGTGACACCCAGACCCTTTCCCAACATGCAAAAGGCACAGGAAAGTGAGACCCGACCAGGTGGGCAGCGTGGATGAGGAGCCCCCACGCCCCTGCGTGGTACAGTGCAGCATGGGAGAGCCCAGGAGCGATGGGCAGTGGGCATTATGGGCAGAGGTTGGGAGAGGAACCCGAGGCTCGTCCACCTCCGGCCCACCCCTGCACGTGGACAGTCTGACCTTCGGAGAGAAAGTCACATGGCTCGTACTGAAAGCTCCACCCCACAGGGTGGGCAGACTCAACTCAAGGGGGAAAAAGGGTGATGGAGGCTGCCTCCAGGGATTTCTGTGAAAATGCCGAACCAAACATACTGGCCAAATCGGGAGGGGAGTGACGGTGCTCGTGGTGTCAGTCCCAACCATGGCCTGGTTCAGGGTGCCACTGCCATGGCTCAAGCCAGTGCTGTCTCAGTTCATGTCCAGGAGAAGAATGAAGCCCCTTCTAGTCTTCGGGGTCTGGTTCTCCAGTCCCATCTGGAGGTACCAGTGAGAAGAGTCGAGTCTTGATGTTGGCTTTGTCCTGTGGAAGAGTTCCCTGGGCAAGAGGGAAGGGGAGGCAGGGGGTCAGGCCCCTGAGCCCCCAGCACCTCCAGAATCTGGGCCCTGGTGGATGAAGCTGCCTGGGACTCACCTCAGATCCTAACCAGTCCCCACAGTTCCATCTGGAGACCTTGAATCAAAAGAAAAGGCATTCGTGTTTCGCTCGTCCTCTCTCTCTCACCTTCTCTTTCTGTCCTTCAGTCGGGCCGTGGCCTCACGGCATTGACAACGTCTACTTCTACACTATGGAATGTTTCACACTGACGACAGGATGGCTCGGCACGAGGGGTGGGGGGCTGTCCAGGTGTTCACAACACGGCGAGTTACCGAGAGCTCTTGGGAATCACACAGCACAGAGACACCGACAGTCAGCCAAGCCCTGGGCCCGGCTCTAGATGTATTTTTTCTTGAGGTACCAGTAGGCAAAGTAGCCCATCCCACCCAGGGAGCCCATGAGGAAGGACGCCCCGAAGAAAGACGGTGGTTTCCGCTTGACCAGCCGGAACGCGTTGGGGATGACGGCCGACAGCAGGGTGGTGTGGATGTCGCCGAGGACTTTTCGGAAGGCAAAGCGTCTCTGGACCCTCTCAAAGAAGGACTGCAGGTTGGGCCGGCTGCCGTCCTCCCAGTATTTCTTGGACAGTCCCAGGAACTTGAGGCGGTGCAGGGTGGCTCCCAGGAGGACGTCGGCGAGGGTGAAGGCACAGCCGCAGAGCCACAGCTCGCACTTCTGCCCTGGTGGAGAGAGTGCGGGCGGGCTCAGCTCCTCCCCTCCCCTCTTCCCCTTCACCCACTGACTCCTCTGGCTCTCATCCCCACCACAGGGCTTCCCGAGGGTCCTTTGTTTCTATGCAACTTTCAGGTTCTGCTCTATTATTTATTTTCCTTTAAATCAATTGATGTTTAAAGTGTAAATATGTGTATTTAAGCTCTTGCTCGGGGACCAGCAGGTGGCGTGGTGGTTAAGGTGCTGGACTCACACATGGCCCACTGAGGTTCGAGTTCTGGACCTGGCAGCTTGCTTTCTCACTTTTCTCTCTCTCTGATTAAATTAAAAAATAACAAAATTAGATGAATAGTTCTTTAAAATTAAACAAATAAATAAACTCTTGCTCACCTAACCAGCTGCTCCTTTGACAGCTCCATTTGGGTGTCCATCCCTGAACTCACCACCCTCGTCCCTGTCTTGGCCGCGGCACCTCCGCCCTCCCAGTCACCCAGGCCGGAAGCTATGATGAGAGCAAAGATGGACTCTGCTCTTTCTCATCCCCCACAGAGTCTGTCAACAATTGCCATCAGCTGTACCTTCAAGTACACTCAGAATCCGATGTCACCTCCACCTTCACGGTCCCAGTCCAAGCAACCCTTCGCCCCTACTCAGAGCATCCCAGTGTCTCCTTGCAGGACTCCCTCCATCTGCCCTGAGAGTCGACTCTCAGCACAGCAGCCAGAGGGCTCTTGTTAAAACTCAAGTCAGATTATGGCACTTTCCTCTGTTCCATACCCTTTAATGGGGGCCAGCAGGTGGCACAGCAGTTACATTGCTGAACTCCCACATGGCTGACCACGGTTCTAGTCCTGGACCTGGTGATTTGATAATCATGCCAGGCACGTGTGCGTGTGTGCCCAAGATCCCAGGAGAAGGGATTGCTGCGTGGCCATCTCCCTCTCACCGTCTCTGTCTGGTGAGCACATGTGCTCTAAGGCAGAAACCTCTAAAAAAAATTCAGAACCTTTTAATGACACCCCATCACAGAGTGAAATCCAAGCCCTTTCAAGCTCTTCCAGGCCCTGCGTGACCAGCCCCAGGTATCCTTTGGCCCTCACATTCTCTCCTCCTTGCTCCCTCACCTCCAGCTCGCTGGCCTCCTGGCAGCTCCTCGTGCTGGGCACGTTCCCACCCCAGCCTTTGCACTTGCTGTTTCGCTGAGAACAGTCTTGCCCCGCACAGCTGGGGCTCATTCTGCCACCTCCTTCAGGTCTCTGCTTAAATGCCATCTCCTCCGGGGGCTTCATGGACCATCAGTTTAAAACTGAAGCCATCAACCCCAGGAGCCACTACCCCTTCCCCTGCTGTTTCCTCCATAAACTGAGCGCGTCATCTCTGTACCTCCCACTCATCCTCTACGAGAATGAAAGCCGCTCCAGGCGGGGGACTTTGGACTGTCTGGTTCACACCTGCGCTCCCCTGTACCTAGAACAGGGTCTGGTGGACAGTATGTGCTCAATAACTCTTCACGAAGAGCTGAGGAGAAGAGAAACTGTATCGTCAACAGTATCAGTGTCCATAGACTACCCGTGATGGTCAAAGTAAGTAGAACACAACCAAAACAAACACGCTTCTCTTCCAGCTGGGTAGCACTGCCCGCCCAAATCTCTGAGCCCGAGGCCTAGTAACACATATTATAAAGGGGTGAAGTACTAGCATCACACTAGTGCTCTTCCTATTTTGTTTAAGATATGTTTTTGCTAGTAGGCAAGTATGCTCGTTGGAGAGACAGAGAGAGAGAGACAAAGAGACAGAAAGCAAGAAATCATCTCCTGGGGGATGGCTACACCACAATCCCTTCTCTTCCATTCTCCTCTCAGGATTTTGAGCACACCTGTACATGTGCCCAGTGTGAGAGATTTTATTTTTTTGAGAGAGAGATTTTCGCTATGGAATGCCTGCACTTGCTGGAGACACAGAGAGAGACAGACAGACAGTGAGAAAAAAATTCAGAACCTTTTAATGACACCCCATCACAGAGTGAAATCCAAGCCCTTTCAAGCTCTTCCAGGCCCTGCGTGACCAGCCCCAGGTATCCTTTGGCCCTCACATTCTCTCCTCCTTGCTCCCTCACCTCCAGCTCGCTGGCCTCCTGGCAGCTCCTCGTGCTGGGCACGTTCCCACCCCAGCCTTTGCACTTGCTGTTTCGCTGAGAACAGTCTTGCCCCGCACAGCTGGGGCTCATTCTGCCACCTCCTTCAGGTCTCTGCGTAAATGCCATCTCCTCCGGGGGTTTCATGGACCATCAGTTTAAAACTGAAGCCATCAACCCCAGGAGCCACTACCCCTTCCCCTGCTGTTTCCTCCATAAACTGAGCGCGTCATCTCTGTACCTCCCACTCATCCTCTACGAGAATGAAAGCCGCTCCAGGCGGGGGACTTTGGACTGTCTGGTTCACACCTGCGCTCCCCTGCACCTAGAACAGGGCCTGGTGGACAGTATGTGCTCAATAACTCTTCACGAAGAGCTGAGGAGAAGAGAAACTGTATCGTCAACAGTATCAGTGTCCATAGACTACCCGTGATGGTCAAAGTAAGTAGAACACAACCAAAACAAACACGCTTCTCTTCCAGCTGGGTAGCACTGCCCGCCCAAATCTCTGAGCCCGAGGCCTAGTAACACATATTATAAAGGGGTGAAGTACTAGCATCACACTAGTGCTCTTCCTATTTTGTTTAAGATATGTTTTTGCTAGTAGGCAAGTATGCTCGTTGGAGAGACAGAGAGAGAGAGACAAAGAGACAGAAAGCAAGAAATCATCTCCTGGGGGATGGCTACACCACAATCCCTTCTCTTCCATTCTCCTCTCAGGATTTTGAGCACACCTGTACATGTGCCCAGTGTGAGAGATTTTATTTTTTTGAGAGAGAGATTTTCGCTATGGAATGCCTGCACTTGCTGGAGACACAGAGAGAGACAGACAGACAGTGAGAAATCACCACCCAGGGGAATGGCTATGCCACAGTCCCTTCTTCTCTATTCCCCTCTTGGGATTTTGGGCACATGTGCCCACCATGAGTTTTAAGTTGCCAGGTCCTGGACTTGAACTGTGGTCAACCATGTGGGAGTCGAGCGATGTAACCATTATGCCATCTGCTGGTCCCACTAGTACTCTTTCTTTGATATTATCAAAACAACTGAAAAGAGATTAATGCTCAGTCTGTGGTTTTATGTCATTATTTCTGTGTGATCTAAAATTAGCCTGCACATTTAGGTAACACTTATCTGTACGTGTTTTTCTCAGTTGCTTAGACTTGGAATTCTGGAGCCGCTTTGGTCTCCTACATCCTCATTTTGCTCCAAAACCTTCCATTCTCCCCTCTGGCTACACATGAATGTGCAGATTCCTTTGCCTTCAAGAGTTACGTTAGCTCCAATGTACTTCTTCAGTCTTGGCTTCTTATGAATGGCCCGTCTGCCTGTCGTTCCCACAAACAAGCTATGCACATCCCAGCCTCTGGCCTTTGCTTCTACTGTGCCCTGTACCTGAAATGCTCTCCCCCTCTCCACTTCCTCTATGGTTTGCTTTCCTGAGAAACTTGCTTTTGCAACCTTGAACAGGCCATTCCTTTCAGCTCAGGGATTGATACCTTTCACCATCGAAACCTGCATCATCACTGTGTCTTCTTGTTCATTTATTTATCCCTTCAATACATGTTTATCTGGAGTATGTGCTGGGCATGAGGACATGAAGCGACACTCTGCCTCCCCAAGGGGCCCGTGGTTATGGGAGAGCATGAAGTGTCACGAAGGCTCTAACTGGGAGTTTGTTCTTGGATACATAACCGTCAAGTGGCCTGATGGACGTAACAGGGCGTACTGAGTCGGCGGTTGGAGACCAGGTACCTAGCTCACGGGAGCAGCATGGAGGTGTGTTTAACGCCAGGAGGTTATGCAATCTCACTAAGGGACTGAGTGTAGACAGACTTGAGAATAGGGCCAGAGACAGTCCTGGAGCACGCTCAGCCTTAGATATTAGGCGGCAAGGAGAAAGCAGCCAAAGCGCTAAGGAGGACCAGCCGCAAGGGAGGAGATGGCCTGGGGAGTGTGGTGTCCTGGAAGCCCAGCTGAGAAAGAGTTTGAAGGAGGGGGAAGTGCTCGGCTCCGCTCACAGGCTTGCAGAGGTCAGATAAGGAGACTGAGAACTGCAATGACGATGGTGTTTAGGGACTGGTGACAGGAGCAGTTAGAGCAGAATGCTGACGATGAAAGCCCAGTTGGAGAGAGTTCAAGAGGGGACTCAGACGATGAACAAAGATCGCTCTTTCAAGGAGTTTTGCTAGAATGGGGAGGTAGGTCAGCAGTGCCAGGAGGTTGGGCGCGCATTTATAAATTGGGAGGGATGAAGAAGCACAAGGCACGCTGGCCCAGCTGCAGGGACGCAGGTAGTGGGTTGCTGCTGTGGGACGCCGGGCCCTGTAGGAAAGCCCTGGGTTCACATCCTGGGGCTGCCTCTATAGGCCAGGTGTGCCCATAATCCTGGATGGGGAGGACTGTGGAGAGTAGGAAAATCTTGTGGAGGGTGCTCCACCTCCTTTCAATAGATACATGAACTTAAAAAATAAAAAACCATGTTGACGGGAATGATGCAGCAGAGAGGGGGCAATGATCGAACCGGAAAGGGTGGAGTAAATGGCGGAGGTGTGTCCCTGAGCAAAGTGGGTGGGATCCAGTGCACTGGGCAGGACTCGGTCTTAGGGCCAGTTTTTCAAGAACGGTTCAACTCCAGTAACAAGAGGGAGTGTACTGGCACATTTCATCAAATCTAAGTTTTCATTAAATGTGAGGCACCCAGCCAGAAGAAAGAAAGGATGATTAAACTAATGATTGTAAGAAACGTTCCAGTGTCTGGTGTGATTTTGCAAAGATGCATTTTAGAATTGATAAGATGCCGTGCATGTGTTTACACTAATGCTGGTGGGTGGGTAGCTGTGGGGAGCAATGCCGAAAAGATCCGTATATTGT